GACACAGGTTAGGTGTGCTCACACAGCCTTCTCCCCGACACAGGCTAGGTGTGTTCACACAGCCTTCTCCCCGACACAGGCTAGGTGTGTTCACACAGCCTTCTCCCCGACACAGGCTAGGTGTGTTCACACAGCCTTCTCCCAGACACAGGTTAGGTGCGTCCACACAGCCTTCTCCCCGACACAGGTTAGGTGCGTTCACACAGCCTTTCCTCCCACAACAGTGTCCCACTACACAGTGTTCCCTCTGGGACTTGGGCTGTTCATGTCTCCACTGTTCTCTGCTGCCTAGCTTGGTGTCTGCTACTGAAGAATTTTCTTTTCAATCCATGAGTTTTGAGACCTTAAAATCACGAAACAGGGTGGGTATTAGTGGCGCACACCTTTAATCCCAGCACTTGGGAGGCAGAGGCAGGCGGATCTCTGTGAGTTTGAGGCCAGCCTGGTCTATAGAGTGAGTTCCAGGACACCCAGAGCTGTTACACAGAGAAATTCTGTCTTGAAAAACAACAACAACAACAACAACAAACACACAACCACATGTGAAGCCTTAGTGACTGGTAGTTTCCACACATGTTCGGTGACTCACTGCGCTGGCCAGTCTGTGTCAGCTTGATGCAGGCTGGAGTCACCTGGAAAGAGAGGTCGGCTGAGGAGATATCGCCACCACATTGGCCTGTGTGTCTGTCTGAGGAGCATTTTCTGGATTAGCAATTGATGTGAGAGGGCCCAGCCCACTGTGGTGAAGCCACCCCTGGGCAGGTGTTTCTGGGTTCTGTAAGAAAGCAGGCTGAGGGGTTGGAGAGGTGGCTCAGAGGTTAAAGAGCACTGACTGCTCTTCCAGAGGTCCTGAGTTCAATTCCCAGCAACCACATGGTGGCTCACAGTCATCTATAATGAGATCTGGTACCCTCTTCTGGCCTGCAGGCAGACATGGAAGGAATGTTGTATACATAATAAATACATCTTAAAAAAAAAAAGCAGGCTGAGCAAGGTAGAGGGAGCAAGCCATAGGTAAGCGGTGTTCCTTCATGGCCTCTACATCAGCTCCTGACATCCCTCAATGATGGACTGTGACCTGTAAGCCAAATCAAACCTTTCCCACCACAGTAGCTTTTGGTCAGTGTTTGTATCACAGAGACAGAAAGGAAACCAGGACACTCAGTGTCCATCTGTCCTACAAGGTACAGGTTCTGCGTTCACAGACTCAACCAACCAATCAGTGAGCCTGAAAGAACCTGAATCTGTATAGATGTTATAGAGGATTAGAGTATCTGCAGGCTTTGGTATCTTGGGAGGAGGGGTGCCTTGGAACTAGTCTCCAGTGGGAACTGGGGAATGACTATCATTACGCTCTAGGTACTAATATTCTCGTTTTTGAAAGTTGAAACCTAGGCCCTACTGGCAAATCTGTTTGGAAATACAGACTACCCAAAGGAGATGCTGCTCTGTTTGGTAGTGTGAACTTAGGAGAGTGGGGCCTAGAAACCAGGTGAACTAACGTCTCCTGCACTGGCCAACTTTTTTCAGGACATCAGACAGTTTATATTCTGCGTGCATTCTGAGGGTTAAGCAAGGTCATGTGAGAAAAGTTCACTTGAGTTCAAGTTGTACACAATCAGAAGTACAAGCAAGGTCACGAGGATAGCATGTTTGTAATCACCATTCTGAATAGTGGGTAAAATGATAGGTAATCTGGATGGGTGTGGTAGCACACACCTTTAATCCTGGCACTTGGGAGGTTGAGGCAGGTGGATCTCTGTGACTTCAAGACCAGCCTGGTCTACAGACTAAGTTTCAGGATAGTCAGAGCTACTCAGAGAAACCCTGTCTTGAAAAACAAACTAACTGAGTTGGAGAAGATGGTTCAGGGGTTAAGAGCACTGACTGCTCATCCAGAGGTCCTGAGTTCAGTTTCCAGCAACCACATGATGGCTTGAAGCCATCTGTAATGAGATCTCGTGCCCTCTTCTGGCCTGCAGGTATATATGCAGTCAGAACACTTTCTACATAATAAATAACAGAAGAAAAATAAACTAACAAAAGATGATGGTTAATCTGAAACAACCACACTCCTATGTTACTATACCTAGGAGGGGCTGGAAACACATTCCAAGAGCACATCCTTATTATGGAGGAACAGAGGTCACAAGCTCTCAGAAATATCTTCACGCAGCTTCATTCATGGACCGTGTTCCAACACTGGAGAGACCTACTCGGTTTGAATTTGATAGCTTTCATTCTGTCTCTCACACTTATTATCCTGTGGGTGGGGCGCATATGTGGAGGTCAGAGGACAAGTTGAGAGAGTTAATTCTCTCCCTCTACCATGTGGGTCCCAGGGATCAAACTCAGATCATAATGCTTGGTGACAAGTGACCCACTTAGCCTTCTTCCAGCCCCTCTGCCCTCTTTTGAGACAGGGTCTTCTGTAGCCCTGGCTGGTTTTGAGCAGCTAACTGTAGCTAAGGATGACCTTGAACTACTGCTGGGATTGTAGGTGTACCCAGCTTCACCTCTTTTCCTCTTCTGAGCAGGGTCTCAGTGTGGCTCTGGCTGGTCTGGAACCTGCTGTGTGAGCAGGATTGGCCTGAAAGGCATAGAAACTCACCTTCCTGGGCCTCCAGAGTGCTGGGGTTAAGGTGTTTTTGATGAGACACGTTCTCTCTCCGTGGGCCTGGTTGGCCTGGAGTCTGTGATGAGCCTTCTGCTCCCCGTCCTGGTGCAGAGACTCATTTTCCTTCAGAATATCGTGATGACTGAACACATTTACCTTGTGCTGGGAGAAAGATGGCTCTGCTCACCTTGTAAGCACAGTGGTCTCATCTCTGCAGAATGGGAACGAATACATTGCTCACCTCAAAGACCAGCTACAAGAGATGAAGGCCAAAACCAACATGGAGAACCTTTATATGAAGAGAAACACTGAGCTGCAGATTACCCAGACCCAGAAGAAATGTAACAGAGCCGAGGAACTCTTGCTGGAGGAGATTGAGGTAACCTGTGCTACACTAGGCTAGCTGGGAATGGAGCCTACTGACAGCATATGCCAGATTCTGAGTCCACCTTCCAGTATCAATACACAACAACAACAACAATAAATCCAGGTAGATGACTTGATGCCAAGTGGGCTGTCACTTTAAAAAAAAAATCATTTATCTTGGGCAGGAGAGAGATCAGCTGTTAAGAGGACACACATTTCTTAGCCTGGTGATGATGCACACCTTTAATCCCAGCACTGGAGAGGCAGAGGCAGAAAGATCTCTTTGTTCAAGGCCAGCCTGGTCTACAGAGTGAGTTCCAGGACAACCAGGGCTACACAGAGAAACCCTGTCTAGAAAAACTTAAGACCTTTGTTCTGTTCCCAGCACCTATGTCTGTATGGGGGACACAACCTCCTGTGTCCAGGTTTTAAAATTATGTGTAGGTAAGTGCCCAAGTAGGCTAGAGGCATTGGGCCCCATGGAGCTGGAGTCATAGGTGGTTTCGAACCACCCAACCTGAGTGGCAGAAACCAAACATAGGTCCCCTAAACATGAACAAACATGAACAGTGTGCACTCTTAGCTGCTGAGCTAGCTCCTGCCTCAGCCAGCTGTCATTCCTGATAATATGCCAGCCAATAAAAGAGGAGGAGGAGGAAGAACATTAAGGTTTTCCTTCATGACCAGTACAGCCCACGAGGTCAAGCTTAAAAAACTCAATGGGGTCCTATATATGTGATTAGAGATTTTAGTGGCTACACCTCCTGCTCTTTCTATGACCTGGACAAGGCTGCTGGGAAAGCCTCCCTCCCAACCCCTGCTTTTTTTTGTTACATTTTCTTATCTTCTTCTTCCTTCTCCCCACCTCTTGTTCTTCAACATTGGCTTCTGTAATTCAGGCAGGCTGGCCTCAGACTCACTTTGTAGTACAGGACTGGCCTTAACTGGATCTGCCTGCCTCAGCCTCCAGAGATCTGGAATTCTGTAGTTTTCCTTTGTTGGACCCTAGAGTCCAATCACCGAGGAGGAGTCACTCCAAGAGACCACCCCTCACACCACAGCTGATATAAAAGCATGAGGATTTTATTAATTCTATCATGACAGGGTCTTTCAGCATTAGAGGCCAGAAAGACCCCAAATAGCTGGTACAGGCTACTTTTAAAGGAAAAAGCCACAGAAGCAAGTGGGGGGGGGGTCTGGGGTTTGTTCTTTGACTATTATGATTGGCTTATTCAAAAGGGCTATTACCAATAATTGACTGGAGAGCAGTTGCCAGGTAAGAGGAAACATCTGAGGGTCACTTTGACCCCTTTCCCAGGGACTGAGTCAAATCAAGTCTCTGGGAGGCCTCCCACCTGGCACGTACATCAGAAACTGAGTCAACATCTTAAAGGTTATCTTGGGCCCCAATTTCTGGAGAACATTCACAAAGACTCAGGGAAATGAAAAGTTCCCAACATCTTAGTACGTGCATGTGTAGCTGTTAGGTCCTTGGTTCCCAAGGGGGGGCACTAAGGCACAGAAGCTGAGAGGGTTCAGAAATGGCTTCAGAATTAAAGTTTTACACCTTCTCTGGGCTGACAATCTTGCACCCTTGAAGCATGGTTTTTCAGATGGCAGGGTTGTTTTGGCTTCTTCGGGGGTCCTTGAGCACATCTAAGGAGGTGTAGTGTTTATGGAGTACACATGGAGCTCTGTAGGGAAGCCATGGCATTCCTGGGGTCCCTGAGGCTGGTTACCTCAGCCTTGCTGAGGAGAGTGCCTGTGCTTGGTGCATTACAGAAACTGAGGATGAAAACTGAAGAGGAGAACCGAGTCCATATGGAGATCGAAATGTTCCTTAAGAAAGAGCAGCAGGTGAGTCTCCTGAACCTTTGGTTCCTCATTTAGGATCAAATTAGAGATGGCTTACCGGTTAAGATGGCTGCTCTTGCAGAGGACCTGGGTTCAGTTCCTGGCATCTACATGCCATTTCACAGTTGTAACTCCAGGACCAGGGCATCCAGTGCCCTCTTCTGGCTTTCAAGGGCATTGGGTGTGCATGGTGCACATAGTACATGCATGTAAAACACCTGTACATATAAAATAAAGAGATCTTTGTAAATAAATCCCACTCCACGAGGTGGTGGCACACATCGTTAATCCCAGCACTCAGAAGGCAGAGGCAGGCAGATCTCTGTGAGTTTGAGGCCAGCCTGTGAGTGCTGGGATTAAAGGTGTGCATTACCATTACCCAGCTTGATTTTTTAAATTATAAAAATAAGATGCTCAGCTGGACAGTGGTGGCCTTTAATCCCAGCACTTGGGAGGCAGAGGCAGGTGGATCTCTGTGAGTTCAAGGTTAGCCTGGTCTACAAGAGCTAGTTCCAGGACAGGCTCCAAAATCTACAGAGAAACCCTGTCTCAAAAAACAAAACAAACAAACAAAAAGTAAAAATTAAAAAAAACCCAAAAAGACCCAAAACAAATAAACAAAAAACCATGATCAGTTGAGAGGTGTTTTTAAAATTTTCAGTTGCATTCTCATTTTGTTCATGTTCTTAGAATCTCTTTGCAAAATAATTTAAAATATAAAATATCCCATTGAATGGATATGCCACAGATCTGCTCCAGCCATTACTGATTGTCACTGCAGGTACTTACTAACAGTCTGTCTCAGGGCAGGAAAGCACTGCAGAGGGACTGGGATTCTGGGATTCTGGATACACGTTACTCATGCTTTCCCCATCATCTTCCATGAATGAAAAACCCAGGCAGTGTCTAGTCTGTTCTGCAGGCTATGTGTGCGGGTGGTCATGTCAGGGTGGTTCTCTTTTCAGCACTGATTGTGTGTGTGTGTGTGTGTGTGTGTGTGTGAGCGCGAGTGCATATGCTCACAAGTGTGCCCCATTCTTCTCAGACACAGGAGAGAGAACAAGGTATTTTCCACCAGTAAGAAAGCCTCAAAAAGAGAGGTTCAGTTTTACCTACGGCCAATCATGTTAAAGTCCAGATTCAGTTGTCCCATTCTTCTCAGTAAATACCCTAACTTGCATAAGAGAACTTGGCACAGTTGTCTATATTTATATGTAATTCTGTCCAAGACACCATTAAAGTCAAAAATAAAAGAAGCCATACACCATAGTGGTAGCGCATGCATTTCATCTCATACACTCAAGAGACAGAGGTAGATCTTTGTGCATTCCAGGCCAGTCAGGGCTACACAGTGAGACCCTGTCTCTAATGATGATGATGATGATGATGATGATGATAATGACAATAATGCCCAAGCCAGGGTCTCTAATAGTGATGATGATTATAATAATAACAATGCCCCAAGCCAGGCATTATAATCTTAGCACTCAGGAGAGAGAGACAGAAGGATCAAGAGTTTGAGCCTAACCTAGGCTATATGAATCATGTCTTACAAAAAAAAAAGGAAGAAATGAATAAGGACAGAAAGGGAGGGGTGAGAGGAGAGGTGAGAGGGAAGGAGGTGAGTGGGACCCATCATCTTCAGTGCTAGTCAGCCTCACTCTCTAGCTACAGAGCTAGCTCTGAGACAGAAACCTGCACAGATGACAGAAGGAAAAATATAAGCATTTCCAGCCTATAAAATTATCTAAAAACCCAAATATGCTGACAGAAGCCCAGATCTAACCTAGGCTGTCCTGAGGAATCCAGGGCAATGTACAGAGTTGAAGGCATCTTCCCATATACCATGCCCCTGAAGAAGGTCCAAGCATGTGGAGCGACGTGCTGAACAGAACTTGGAAGCGACCTAAATGTCCAGTAGAAAACTGTCACCTACTTTTAGGCCTATTTCTACTGTGGGCTATCCTACAGCACTGAATTGCTCTTGAAAACTGTATATCAAAAAATAAAAACTACCAGGTGGTGGTAACACACCCCTTTAATCCCAGCACTCGTGAAGCAGAGACAGGAGATCTCTGTGAGTTTGAGGCCAGTCTGGTCTACAGAGTGAGTTCCAGGGCAGCCAGGGCAACATGGAGAAACCCTGTCTTGAAGGGGGGGGGGGGAGATTTGGGCCTCAGTGGAGAAAGTGTGGCTGTAATTTCTGGAAGGTAAGAGGTGCTTGCTGGGCGACCTGAAGCCAGGATAAGGTGGCTAACAGGAAACGCAGACTTGAGTAAATGATTTTTCTCTTGTTTGATATGATTCTTGCTACATAGCCCAGGGTGTTCTCCAACTCAACTCTTGATCCTCAGCCTGCCCCATAGGAGTGTGGACAATGGCTGGCTTAAATGTTTTAAGCCATTTAAACATTTGGCTTAAATGTTTCTCCTGCTCCCTCCCTTGAGCCTTCCCTCTCTCTCCTCTTCCTTCTTCAATCAGTTGTATAAAATGGACTGTTTCCATTGATGGAGATTATTTATTCTCTTTTAATATGTTAAAATAAAACACTATCGATTTGCTCTTGAGTCCTTTAAATATTTGGAATTAGCCTTACGTGGTCTTAGTGCACATGGCAAGTAAACGCTGTGATTGTTAAATGTGTTGGGAATGAGTGTGCCTAGGGAACCAGAGCCGGGAGAGCACCGGAGCCTCCAGCACACCTGATATGTCTTCCAGCGCCTTCTACTGACAAAGATTAGTATTTTGCTAGGTGGCCAAAGAAACCTTTCCAGTGAGGCTAGGCCTTGCAGAAAGTACTTGGAGCTGAGAGGCGGCCCAGCGGCCAGCTGACACATGGAGGGGCTGGCTCTGTGGAGTACTGCTGTGGAAATTTTACTGCTGTGGAAACAGTTGTCAAAGTTGTTTTGTTTTTAAAAACCGGTAACTACAATTTTACTTTTAAATTTTAATTTTTTTTGAGACGGCACGCATCTCATTACATAGCCCTGGCTGGTCTGGAACTCACTATGTAGACCAAGCTGGCCTCAAGTTCAAAGAATTTAGAGTTACCTCATGAGCGCTGGGATTGAAGGTGTGTGTCACGACGCCTGGCTGAGATGCATTATTTTTTTAATCCATCAAAATAATGTATTTTTCTCCTTTAATGTGTTCATAAAGTAAAATACACTTGTGCACCTTAAGTTTGCCCATTCATTTATTCGTGTGTGTGTGTGTGTGTGTGTGTGTGTGTGTGTGTGTGTGCCACATGGATCCCCTGGAGCTGGAGTTACAGGTGATTGTGAACTGCTCAAACTTAGCCTGTTCTCAAGACCCAGGACAGGTTCCCAACCAAAAACCCAGTAAAGTGTGATTCTTAGTGACAGTAATCACAGTGCCTGAAGTTCCTCAGGAGACGTCAGTTCTAATGGAAGATGCACAGACTCTGAAGGCGGATTGCCAAGGTTCAGATTCCAGCCTCGCACTCAAGTTTCCCTGAATTCTTTAGACCCCTAGCTCTCTCAGCTAGTGCTTGTAGAGCGGGAATACAAGAATCCTTTATGGCACAGTGCAGCATAGCGGGTTCTGTGTGCCAATGTACTGACATTCAGCCTAGAACACTGGAAAGGGGGGAGGTTAAGTACAAAGGTTTGCTTTAATAAAAGCAATAGAATATAGATAATGATTAATTCTAGACCCAAGAGAAAGAAAGTAAAACCCTAGCATGTATAAGAAATTTGAAGAGACAGCACAGGAGGAGGTCCATCTGCTCTCCAGAGGGTCTGAATTCTGTTTCCAACACCTTCTTTCATCTTCTCTTGCAAAAAGTCCATCTTCAAGTAACTTTTCAAGACTGAATCTCATCTTTCTATCATTTTTGAAACTTAGGTTGGCTAGGCATCTTATCTCAGACTCTATTTTCATTGAGAATTTTCAAAACTCCCCTCGCCCCACAGGCTAGACTAGAACATACTACGTAGTCAATGATGACCTTAAACTTCTGGCTCTCCTGCCTCTTCTTTGATCATAGGTGTGGGCAACCATGTCTACTTTTATGTGGTGCTGGCTGTCAAACCCAGGGCACATACATACTAGACCAGCACCCTAGCTGAGCATATCCCACACTTCAGTCTTTTGGCTAATGTTCAGTGTTGTTAATAATAAACAAGACTTGATGTTATGGCTTATCATTCCGAATTTCTACCTACTCCTCTGCCACCTCAACCACCGAGACACTGAAGCCCCCCCTTCTCGCTTTTCTCCTGGTTTTTGAGTATTGATTCACTTCTGGAAAGTTCAGGTATTTGTTTTGCAGTGCTGGGTGTCAAGCCCAAGACTACTCATGGAAGGAAAGAGCTACCCCGAGCTATACCCCAACTCTTCCTTCTACAGTCTTTCTTGTCATTTTATGTATTGTCTCATCTTATTAGTTGATAATTTCATAAAATGTATTTTGATCATACAGACGTCTCCAACTCCTCCTACCTACTTCCCTACACACCTAAACTGTCCTTTAAAAAAAAAACCCTCATCAGACACAATTTGTCCTGCCCGTTATACTCTTGGATGTGTGGTGACTACCAGAGCCACACCCTCAAAAGACAGACTCTCTCTCTCCCAAAAGCTATCAACTGCCATTGGCTAAGCTAGGGTGGGACTTCTTGCCCAGCTTCACTCTGTCCTGTGATTCTGACTGACTTCAGCGGCCACCTCCACTCTCTGTCCTGGGATTCTGACTGACTTGAGTTCCACAGGTCCCGTGCATGTGTCACATGCTGTAAGCTCATAGGCGCCGCTCCTCCTATTTAGAAACTGAGCGGCTTACACACAGGAAAGTACACAAACATGGAGCGTGTAGTTTGATATAGCCATCATGTCAGCACCTCCCTCCCCATGCCCTCACCAAGTCTGTTCTGACTGGATCTCCCTAGGAAAGTTTGTTCTTGGTGTAACTGAATCACACAGTCTTGTTATGTGTAGTGGAAGTCATGTTTTTGTTTTTGTTTTTTTGGGGGGTTTTCAAGACAGGGTTTCTCTGTAGCTTTGGAGCCTGCCCTGGAACTATTGTAGACCAGGCTGGCCTCAAACTCACAGAGATCCTCCTGTCTCTGCCTCCCCAGTGCTAGAATTAAAGGCAAATGCGCCACCATTGCCCGGCTCAGAAGCCATGTTTTAATATTCTTTCCAAGTAGAAACTTGAGGAGAAGCTAGAGTTCTGGATGGAGAAATTTGATAAAGATACCGAAGCAAAACAGAATGAGTTGAATGCTCTCAAGGCTGCCAAGGCCACCGACCTGTCACACCTTCAAGAACTTGCAAGGACGGTAAGGGGGGTAGGGGGCCCCTGGGGAATGAGTGGGAACTAAGTTCACTGGGGAAGCCTTTGGCCAAAAGTAGAGGGAACTGTAAACCAATGGGATTCTTTGATGATGATGACAATGGCAGGATTTATTTTATTTTTTGAGTCATACCATACACTTGCTACTGGCTACGGTAGAGCAGACTGGCCTTGGACTGTGTCCCTGCCCGTGTCCTGGGAATTCTGGGATTCCTGGCGAGCAGGGCTGGCTGGGCTGTGGCGACTGTGCTCCGTGTCCTTGTGCAGATCCGGGAGTATGAGCAGGTCATTATTGAGGACAGGATAGAGAAGGAGAAGACCAGGAAGAAGCTGGAGCAGGACGACCTGGAGCTGAAGAGCATCGTGAAGGTAGGGTGCACTGGCAGTAGGCGGGCATGGCAGGCAGACTGCAGCTCTGCAGCACACAGACAGCCTACAGACAGTTCACGGTGCTGGCTCCCGATCTGGGGAGAGGAGATCAATGGAAGCAAAGCCTCTTTCCAGCCATAACAATCTGAGGAGGGGACTCAGATATAGGGAAGTGAAACCCCCAAAAGGTGAAAGGGACAATGCAGATTAGAAAAAACACATTTAAAATGTCTTTCAGCTTAATATTTTTTTGAGAACCAACTAGGACTATGTATGTGGCCTGCGGCGCTCCTTCTCCCTCAGCCTCCTGAGCATTGGAGATTATAGATGTGAGGACTCAAGGCCTGGCTGAAACAGTAAATGTCTCATGAAAGTTCTATGTGAATTTGCAATTAGCAATGACAACATGATCAGGTCCAGATTCTGGAAAACAGTTTAAAGATTCATTTTTATTTTTAAATATGTAAATGTCTGTATGTGGGTACGTGCACATACATGATTGCAGGTACCCACAGAGGCCCAGTGGGGGCATCAGATTCCTTGGAGCTGGAGTTACAGGTGGTTGTGAATTTCCAGATGTGGGTATTGGGAAACTAACTTGTAATCTGCAAGAGCAGTAAAGCTCTTAACTGCTGGGCCATCTCTTCAGCCCCTGGAAAAATGTTTAAAGCTAAAACTGTAATGCGAAAATGGTTTGAAAAACGATGCTTGGAAGTGCATCCTTCAGGGGTCCTGGGGGAATGAACCCGAGATGCAGAGTACGAAGCAAGTTCTGCCTGTGTAGCTCAGGCTGGCCGTGAACCTCACCGCTAAGTGCTGGAACTACAGGTGTGCACCACCACACAGGGCTGTATTCTGTTCCGTTTGTGGTACTGGGTATCAAACCCAGGACCTCGAAGCATCTTATCACTAAGCCACAACCACAAGTCGAAAATGAGAACTTTTAAGTACTTCCAGAGACAAATATAATATGTACTCACTCATAAGTGACTTTTAGACATAAAGAAAAACCAGCCTATAATTCACAACCCCAGAAAACCCAGACAACAAAGAGGACCCTAAGAGAGACATACATGGATCTAATCTACATGGGAAGTAGAAAAAGATCTCCTGAGTAAACTGGGAGCATGGAGAGGGTAGAAGGGAAGGGGAGGGAGGGAAGGAAGGGAGGGGAGCAGAGAAAATAAAGAAGTAGTCTTTTCAGGACCCAGGTATCCAAACTCGTTCTTGGTGTTCCTGTTAGGAGAATCTGATGTATAATTAGTAAATGCTTTCCATTTGACAAGATTCAGTGTACAGTGAAGAACTAAACAAAGACTGCTCTTGTTCTCACTAGTCGATTCATGTGCTCTCAGTAGGCAAGGCTAATCTGATTTTATAATCTAGATTGTTCAGAACAGTTGCACTACACTGACAAAGACATTCAAGGGGACTTTTAGCTGCTCCCTAAAGATATGTCAACCCCTGAGACTTCTCAGTGTGTCCCTGACTGCAGGTAAGAGACATTCATTCCCCTTTCCAGCCAATGGCTGCGAGGTGTGCTGCGTCCCCAAAGGTGCCAACACGGCCTAGCACACTGCATTTCCACTCAGCCAGGAGCAACAGGGTAGCCATAGTGACATCAGCCTGGCCACTGCCATGTCTCAGAGATGTCCTTAAACACACACGGCTGTTGGTTCTCTCTGTGGAGAAGGATAACAGTGCTGCTGGGCTCACTGAGCTGAACTGCCTTCCTTCTCTCCTCCAGCTCCAGGCCTGGTGGCGAGGAACAGTGGTCCGGAAGGAAATTGGTGGTTTCAAAATGCCCAAGAAAGAGAAAGATGACAGCAAAGATTCCAAAGGCAAGGAGAAGGAAAAACGGAGAGGCAAGAAGCGATGAGTACCTGCTGTTCTCTCCTCTGGTCTCCAATGGACAATGTGACAGATGCCGTCACAACACTCACCTGTGGCTTGCCATCCAGGACGCCTCGGAGTTCACTAGGCCCATCACCCTACTTTTCAAACCCCGAATGGGGGTTGTAACACGGCTGTAGGGCCTCTTCAGACTGTGCACTTTGGGGAAAGAAGTGTTGAGCAGCTTTGTGAACATTCTTTCTCACGAGAAAACAGTTCATCGGCTTACAGCGATGCACTAAAAACTCCCGTGTAATATTTTATTCTGATTTTATGCCAATATTGAGGGAGAATTATCAAGGTTATTTGCTAGCAAAATATGTCTGCACACGGTAGTTAATTAATAAACTTTGGTTTGTTAAACTTATAAACTTTGCCTGTCTCACTGTTACCGGTACTGGAGGATGGCACCTAATCTGCCTCTTACATAAGCTGCTCTGGCGACTTTTCTGGGGATAGATCGGGATGGAAGTGGCCAACACAAGAGATGGATTGTGCATACACAGTCCTCTAGTGGTAGAGATGGCACATGTCCCAGAAAGCTAGCCAAGTGTCACACAACTATGTCCAACATCTGGGATATTGAGTCTTAAAGAAAGAAGATGGGTGAAAACCGGCCCGAATGGTGTCCAGCAAAGCTGGTAGAAACCGGCCCGTGTAGTGTTTTCACTCCTCCCTTAAAACCAGTGAGCCCACTGGCTCATTCTTGCTTTGACCCACCAGTAAGGAATGTCTTGGAAGGCTAGAGCTTTCAGGACAGCACAGCTGTGTCCACTGTGCCTCTGCTTCTTTCTGTGTCAATGTGTGCATGATGTGTGCTGGTGCACATGCAGAGTTCAGAGGTCAACTCTGTGGACTCTTCTCCACCTTTTTGTGGGTTCTCAAATTCAAGTTGCCAGGATCATCTTGGAACTTGCTGTGAAACCAGGCTGGCCTTGAATTTAAAGATCTGCTTGCCTCTGCCATCCTGTGTGCTGGGATTAAAGAAATGCATCACCATGCCGAGCTTGTTTCTTTAAAATAAAAATTTTTAAAAATAATTAGTGTGGGGGCTGGAGAGATGGCTCAGAGGTTAAGAGCACTGACTGCTCTTCCAGAAGTCCTGAGTTCAATTCCCAGCAACTACATGATGGTTCACAACTATAAGGGGATCTAGTGCCCTCTTCTGGCACGAAGGCATACATGCAAGCAGAACACTGTATACTTAATAAATAAAATCTTAAAAAAAAAAGGGTGTGCATGCATGTGTGTGCCACAACTCACGTGTGTGGGTTAGAGGATAGCTTTCAAAAACTGTCCCCTTCTATTTCTCTTTTGGGTCCTGGAGATTAAACTCAGTCCCCGGGCTTGGCAGTAAGCCCCTGTACCTGCTGAGTCATTTCACGGGCCCCTAACTGGTTATCTAATGTATCTTACGCTTTTCATGAATTAAAGCCTTTTTAACTTTTGAAGACTTCATGTAGCCCAAGTTGGTTTCAAACTCACTATGTAGTCTGGGCTGGCTCTGAACCTCCTACATTACAGGAGTGACCATACCTGCTTTATGCAGTGGGAATGGAACCTAGGACGTGATGCATGCTAGTAGGCACAGTACTAACTGCACTACAGCTCCAGCCTGAACTGAGCCGTCTAGTCCTACTGCCATTGCAGGTCACCTCACTACCTGTGCCTCCTTGAGAAGTGAGTGCTAACCTCAGAGGCTGGTTTAACAAGATTTGTCCCTTTGTGAGCCAGATTTGTCTTTGCTAAGGAAACCAAGTTTTAGGCTTGAACATCTGCAAGTGTTTATTACATGCTATGGCAGTGTTGGGTTTTATTTTAATATCCACATATAAGATGGCATACAGGCAACTTAAAATAACATACACAGTATCAACATATTTATACTTAGAACTTACACAAACAATATATTTACAGACATACAAATATAGGACAATGTTTACAAAACCTTTTACTAATTACATATGTGTAACACTTCAGAAGTCAAACCTGTTGTAACCACCTCGCTGCACTGTGTGTATACAAGGCTTCTAAACGAGCAGGTTTTCCTTCATTTCACAACCATCTGAGTCCTTAGACCTTCACACTCATCAGCACAGCGCACCATCGGCCGCTGCTGACGCAAGGGAGGCAGATTACAGGCCCCTTGATAGCTGCAAGGTGTACTTACAGAGCAGTTGGGGAACCACCCACCGCTCTGCCCTTTCTAGTCTCTTCATCCCTCTAGCAGGTCCCTCAGACCTGCTCATTACAGGAGGAGCCTGGCCCGAGTGTTAGGCAGAGATGCCTCTGCAAGTCTGGAGACCGCTGACATTACATCTCCGTAGGTGGCGGGGCAGGGCCAGGCAGGCACTTGGTTTGTCCACTGTCAGCACTGGTAGGACAGCCATTTCCGGTCAGGGGACTATGATAAGACTTAACTTTATCTTACACTGGGGTCTCTAACAAGGTTAAATATAAAAATGTATTGTTCTCTCCAATTTAGAAACATATATATGAAGCCACAAAAGACCAACAGAAAACCTGGCTTGTTATATGATGACTCAGAACTTCAACAACCACAGCTACAACTGCAAATGTTTCCTAGTGATTAAATCTGAATTAACTTGGTAAGTACACTAAGGCCTCACATGAAAAACTGAAATATTAAAATGTCCTCCTTTCTGAGGTAGGGTCTCACTGGGGAGAGGAGCCCTGCCTCCTGTCCCTCAAAGGCTGGGGTAAAGGCAGGGGCCTCCACGCTCTGCAATGTCAGCTTACTCTCTGCAACTCTCAGAGCTGCTCCAAGTGTTGTATTATGTAATGTCTTCTGGACTCGTTTCTATTCAACATTAGAAGCTACAAGTTAGAAAGTAAGCTGAGGATTTATGCTGACTAGAAGGAAGCATAGCTACAGCGCAGCACAGCTGGTGGTGGGCAAGCCTTGCTGCTTTGTTCTGTGAGGACCCTGAAGGGCTGGGCAGGAGCCAGGTACTCTATGTTATAGTTACTGTCTCTTGAGATAAGGGCTTGCCCTAAATCCACAATGCTCCTGCCCTAGCCTCCTGAGTTGTAGGAATGTGCTGCCATACCCGGCTGCTGGTACATGCTTTTAAACTTGGATAACGTGGAAAATGTTCTAATAAACACTTCTCTGCATGAACAAGGAGAAATTATTTTGATTACTCAAAATGATTTTGTTCAAAGTCACTTTTAGAGGAAGATTTTTTTTTAGGGAAAGGATATTTTTAAAAAATATTTTTACATGTATGAATATTTTACCTTCATGTATGTATGTGTACCATGCACATGCCTGGTACCTGGATGGATGGTCATCGCAGGGTGCTGGGAATTGAACCCTGACTCTCTGCAAGAGAAGCAAGTGCTCTCAGCTGAGGCAGTTCTTCAGCCAGGCTAATGTAGCCCAGGTGACCTGTAGCTGCCTAGCATCCGACCAAATCCTGACCACCCAGCTTCCACTTCTGGAATCCAGCTCCTGTGCCTCTCTGCACCTTACTTCAGGTGGTGCCGGGGATGGAACATGGTCCAGTATCGAAGTTATTACTTTTGGATGCTGCACAGGGTAAATACTGTTCTCAAATGCAAGCCTTGGGAAGAAAAACTGTAGTTAATGACTGTAGGGGATACCCTATGAGACAGCTTTATGTAATTACTCTACTGGCCACATCAAAGACACAACAACTAACAGGTGTGCAAAACCTAGGGGAAGAAAAACCTGTGTAGTTAAGTTTAAACGAAGATGCCTACTTTGTGCTGGAGCCCAGGTCCTTCTGTGGTCTACTCACAGCTAAGGAGTAAGGCATGGGCGGTGGGTGGGGGAGGGGCTAGATGAGAGACAGGAAGTTAAGGAAGCTGGCTGTCACCTGCAAGGATTGTAACAAGTGTGGCTTTCCTTCCACTCTTTTGGTGTTGTGTCCGGTGTTCCATGAGCCAGGGAGCTGTTACTGCATCTGCCATGCCTGGTGCAGGTGCCCTGGGATCAGCACGCAGGGTTCATTGAGGCAAATGCAAATACTGTTTAGTGTGCATTACACTGTATATCTTAGAACTGTGTGTAGAGGGCGTTTAGGAAATGGCAGGGTGATGCACAGAACCACCCTCTAGAAAAAGATGGGGTGGGAGTGGGCAGGGCTGCAGAGAGGCCTGGACACTGGTTTTAAATAACCGTTAGACTGTGCAAAATTGCGGGCTTCTCTATTATTTTTGTTCTCTTTGACAGAATTGTCCAAGTCATCATAACATAGCCTTTGATTTGAATGCAGTTGAAAAGTGCAGTAGGGTGGTACCCAAACCACATAACTATGTGTCTTCGCATAATCTCTACTGCCTGAGAGCAAACTGCAACGTCTGCTGGAAATGCAGGTTCCCAGGCCACAGCCAAAACCTCTGTTGCAAATCTGGATTTCACAAATGCTCCAGGGAGAATGAAGCCCAACTGTGGAAACCAGCGAGCTGTAGACACCTGGGGAACTGGAAAGATAGCAGCACGCCTGTCTTCTAAGAGGGAAATATGCGGCTTCCAAGATCCTGTCTCTGGCATGAAAAATGAGCCTGCTCCCCACGAAGAAAGTAGAGCCAGCTTAGGCTTCCATGTTGAGTCCTCAGTAATGAACGTTCCACTTAAGAAAAATTGTGTCTTCATTAAAAACAAAAAATAGTGGAAATAATTTCCCCTAAAATGGAGAGATGAAGCAAACATTCCTGGCAGGAATCATGAAGACAGCTCTTCTGCAAACACACAGGGCTGTCTGAGCAGGCGGGGCCAGCAATCGCATCCTCCTGCTCCGTGTTCTGGCTGTGTCAATACCCAGGGCCCTGGGAGTCCTCAGACAGCAGAGAGCTGGGGCGCTGGCTGCTGCTGCTGCTGCTGCTGCTGCTGCTGCTGCTTGGGTGGGGCAAGTTCCAGGAGGGCCTGGACAGTCACGGCAACCTGGCTCAACCCTTTCTCTTCTAAAATGTGCAGAGGCAAACATAATTGCTCCTAAAAGAGGACAACGTAACAAAAAACAAACAGAAAACAGGATGAACATCACAGAACTGAAAGGAACTTCTACCCCACCCCATAATAATCAAGTGAGATACGGAAAGTTCTTGGTAAACCCACCCTGCTAAAGGAGGCAGACGCAGATGGTGTCTCACACTCAGGGTCACTTTATTAACACAGTTAAAGGTCCATACAGAACGTTTGGAAAAGTGGACGACTGACAAGTGACACACATTTACACGGTGGGAAGAAGTCCACTATCTGACAAAAGATCAGGGCCGACTTACAGAGCACATCAAAATAGAAAAACAGGCCGAGTTACAGCATGGCCCACGTGGAAAGGAGCATTACAGAGGACACTCTGGGGAAGAAA